GACGTGAAGACCCGGCTGGAGCAGGAGATCGCCACCTACCGCAGCCTGCTGGAGGGCGAGGACTCCCAGTGAGTGGGGGCCCCCTGGACTGCCCCCGGACCTTCCAGAACCCCTTCCCACTGCTGCCAGCACATCTAACTGCTCTGCCTTTTCTCCCCTTAGCCTCTCCTCTTCCCAGCACGTGTCTGGACAAGCCTATTCTTCGTCTGGACAAGCCTATTCTTCCCGCGAAGGTAAGGCTTCTGGGAACTCCAGCCCCTTGGCCTGTTTGCATGGGGTGGGTGCCAGACCCCTCTTCTCCCTTAGCTCCCAGGGTCCAGCTCACCTCCTTTCCTCTCTCCACAGTTTCCTCCTCCTCCTCATCATTCTCCTCCGGCCGCCAGACCCGCCCCATCCTCAAGGAGCAGCAGGGCTCGTCCAGTTTCAGCCAGAGCCAGCACTCTAAACACTGAGTTGCCTACTACCACAGCCTCCTGCCCCCACCGGCCGACCTCCCGAAGGCCTGGGTCAGGACCCTGTTTTCCCAGCGCGGCCCCCAGCTGTCTCCCTATCCCTCTGCTGGTGGTGGGCTAATAAAGCTGACTTTCTGGTTGATGCAAACTTGTGTCTTTCTGTTCTTGACCCGATGGAGGGGGAGTGGCAGGTGCCTTCCAGGAACCCTTCTGGGGCCCTGTGGTCTGAAGGATGCAGGATACGGAGTAAATCTCAGAGGCTGTGGGCCCAGGGGCCTTTCCATGCCATCAGGGGAGTGGGAGGGAAGTCACAAGGTGGGACACAAGAAGGAGGGGAGCTTACATGTGTTCTCAGGCCTTCATCATACCCAGCGAGCCTGTGAGGTGGGGTTAGGCTCATTATAGAGGTTAGAAACTCCCTGGGAATCAGGGAAGTAGAAAACTTGCACAAAGCCATGCAGCTACTAAGTGACATGATTGGGCTTCAAACCCAGGTCTGTTTGGCTGTGAAGTCCATGGCTGTCTTTTAGTAACACTCTACCTTTCCAGATATTTTAACCAAAGACGCTAAGGCTTGACTCTTAGCTCTACCAGTTGGCTCCCCACGTTTGCACACAGAATTTTTGCATTGGATGGTGGAGGGGAAGCCTTCTGTCTTGGGGATGGTGTCCATGGTAAGTCCTGAACACTGCATCTCCCAACCTGCCCCTCCTCATCACTCTCATCAACTTCCTCCTCTTCCTCATTCCCTTCAACCAATTAATTAAGTGCTGTCACCGTGCCCTCCCCTGAAGGGGAACCCCACGGCCACCACCACCTTCTGACCTTTTCCCTCTCCCCTTAGAACTGGGCACAGTCCACTAACTGGGACCCCTTGCCTCCCCTCGGTCTCACTCCCAATTTCTGCCTAAATGACTGTCTATCAAGAATGTGGTCAAGAGCAAGAATGTGAGCAGGACTCCCCTGCTTAATAACCTGGGATGGTTCTCTTTCTCCCTCCAGGACTCAGCTCTTCATTTCCAACTCTGCTTCGGTGCCTTCCCACACCCTCCCTGCCCTACACTCCCTGAGTCAACCACACCTGACTAATTACATGACCCACACCTCTCACTTGTTCCTTCATCCTGGACGAATGTCTTCTATATTTAAAACATTTAATTTAAAAAATCAAAGTTAGACATGTATAACATCATGAGATTTTTTATGAAAATGAGTCATCCCTAGACTGGGTCGTGCCTCCCATCCTCTGCTTTCACCGCTTAGCGGTTTCCCTTGCTGTTTGCCTCCTTATTTCTAAATAGAAGGCTTCATCTGCCATTTCTTAATTTTTCAGTTTTAGTTTGTGTTGATTGACTCCCTGCTACGGAGGATGGGGATTTAGCATTTTTATACAGCATTGCCCCTCCCTCCCACTTCTCTTCTTCCCACTCTCATCATTATAACTATTAAAATATGATTCATAGTCAAACCATATTTTATACTATATTCAATTTCTTTTTAAAGTTTTCTTTGTCACTGATTTGTAGGTTGCTGGGTGGTGCAAACGGTTTGCACTTGACTGGTAACCTAAAAAGAACTCTGGAGGTGTAGTGGTTAAGGCATTTGGCTGCTAACTCAAAAGTTGGTGGTTTGAACCCATCAGCTGCTCTGCAGAAGAGAAATGAGGCAGTCTGCTTCCATAAAGATGTAAAGCCTTGGAAACCCAGTGGGGGTCACTAGGAGTTGGATTGACTTGATGGCAGTGAGTTTGGAGCTAACCTAAAGGTTGATGGTTCAAACCCCACCCAGCAGTGCTGTGGAATAAAGGCCTGGAAATCTGCTTCTGTAAAGGCTGTTGTTGTTGTTGTTGCATTGAGTTGATTCAGACTCATAAGGTCCCTGTAGGAGAGAGTAGAACTGCTCCATAGGATTCCAAGGCTATAAATCTTGATGGAAACAGACTTCCTCAATTTTGTTCTGCAGCGTGGCTTGTGGGCTTGAACCATAGACATTTTGGTTATCTGCTGAATGCTTTAATCACTATTCCACAAGAGCTCCTTTGATTCCATATACGTAGGTCTTAAAAGACCATTCTTTACTAGTTAAACTAAATTATTGTTTTGTTTTAAGAAGATTTCAGAGGATATTTTTAGTTTAAGGTTTAAAGATGATCTCAGGGCAATAGTTTCAGGGGTTCAGGCAGACTCCATGGGTCTAGAAAGTCTGGATTCCATAAGTATTTAATATTCTGTTCTTGAGTTTCCCCTCTTTTGATCAGGATTCTGCGACAGAATCTTTGGTCAAAAAGTTCAGTAATTGTAGCTGGGCACCATCATTTCTTCCGATGGCAAAGGGGACAATTGTTCATGCAGGCAATTAACCACAATTTCCATTTCCTCCTCCTATTCCTGACTCGACTTTGTTTAAAGAAGCTGTCTGTGCAGTGTTTTCAGAGCTCATTCCCCAGATCAGTGGACCATTGGGAAGCTCCATAAGAAAGATCTCCATTTGACAGATGAGGAAATTGAGGCCCAAAGGAATTAAGGATAGAAAAAAAAATTTTTTTCTTAGGTTCTCTCAGCTGGTTAGTAGAACAGCCCAAGACCTCGTTTTATATTCACTGTTGTGTCCTTTATCGGTCTTAGAAGAAATATAATTAGAGTATTCCTTAGAAACAATGATGGCAACATTTGACTGTTTAGTTTGGAGATGTCATTAGGAATTAGCAGTCAAGAAATCAGACAATGTATTGCACTGGGCAAATCTGCTGCAAAAGACCTCTTTAAAATGCTGAAGAGCAAAGATGCCTCTTTGAAGACTAAAGTGCACCTAAGCCAAGCCATAGGGAGCTGTGGTGGCATGGTGCCTAAGGCACTTGACTGCTAACCAGAAGGTTGGTGGTTCAAACCCATCAGCCCCTCCTCAGAAGGAAGACTGGGCAATCTACTTCTGGGAAGATTGTCTGCCTCAGAAACCTGATGGGGGTCGCTATGAGTCAGAATTGACTTGATGGAAGTGAGTTTGGTTTGGTTTTTGGTAACCCAAGCCATGGTATTTTTAATGGTCTCATATACCTGTGAAATCTGGACAATGAATAAGGAAGACCAAAGAAGAGTTGATGCTTTTGAGTTGTGGTGCTGGCAAAGAATATTGAAAGTACCATGGACTGCCAGAAGAACTAACAAATCTGTCTTGAAAGAAGAGCAGCCGGAATGCTCCTTGGAAGTGAGAATGGCCAGATTTTGTCTCACCTACTTTGGTCGTGTCATCAGAAGGGACCATTCCCTGGAGAAGGATATCATGCTTAGTAAATGTAGGGTCAGTGAAGAAGGGGAAAACCTTCAAAGAGATGGATTGACACAGTGGCTGCAATGATGGGTTCAGGCATAGATAAGATTGTGAGGCTAGTGCAGGACCAGGCAGTGTTTGATTCTGTTGTACATAGGGTCACTATGAGTCAGAGCTGACTTGGCGGCACCTAACAACAACAGCACAACAATAAGGGAACAAGCTCTTCTACCTGGAAGTGCTTTGCTAGCTGAGTTCTCAGGCTAAATTTCAAGTCCCAAACTAGACTACATTTTCTCTTGGCTGTTCTCTCCCGCTTCCTAAGATCCTGGCATCTATAACCAAGGGTTGAGTCTTCTCAAATGTGCCTTGTAACCTGTCTGTTTCGAACACACCCTCAGATTCCTTATGCTTGAGTTAGTGTCAAAGTTAGTGAAATATTGTTTTGGATAATTACATAAAGTTCAAAACAATGGCTGGAGTGATAATTAATGGTAGCTTATAAAGCATATCTGCTGATGTAAATGAATCAGTAGTAAGCTCGTAAGGTTTTGCTTTCTTTGGGCCCATTGTCTTTGACAGCTATAAAAAGCCCAGTGTTCCTCCTAGTGTCTAAGATAAGCAATTTCATATGCTTGCCTTCCCACTGCTCTTGCTTGTTTAAGACCTCCTGGCAGCTCCCTGAAGCATAAACATGAACAGAGCTCTTTGTGCTAGCCCCTAACAATCCACAGACAGCACCCAGTACATAAGGGACACTAGATAAAGACTCATGGAGTCAAGTCATGGAGGTTTGCTTTAGACGCCTCTGCTTTTTCAGATCTCCATGGAACTTTGTCAGAAGCAAGGTTCTGGAGGGCAAGTGTCTGTGGTTCTCACGAAGCTCTCATTGTATTGGTAAAAAGCGGTCTCCAAGGGTCACTGTTGATGGGCTGCCCTGGAAGAGAAACCAGGTATCTTTCTTGAGCCCTAGAGC